GAAAACAGAACTTGGATTTCTATATATCAAAGTCGCTTTTTAATCGAAATAGTTTATTTAAAAAATTAATTAGTATCTATATATAAAATTATTAATTTTTTAAATAAAATATCTTCATTAAATAAAAGGCGATTGATAGATACTTTACTTTTTGTTTTCCGGTGTTTTGCGTATTTAATCACATAATGTGTCTATATGTTGTTACGCAATATAATGTGACGTAAAAGAATTTAAATTCAGATGCTGTCATTTTGACTTTACGGCTCGAGTAATCACTTAACGTGTTTTTCTAATCATGAAACATCTGCAAAACAAAATAATCATCCTGTTGTCAGATGTAATTATATTACAGAATGTGAAGAAGAACGTAAAATTGAAATTATTTCATTATTTCATTATTTCCGTAATTATATTTATTTATATCTAATAAAATTAAATTTATAATAAATAAATCTGTACTAACAAATTAAATTTATTGATATAGATCTCTCATATTATTTATTCTTCAAAATTATAGTTATTGTGTTCTTGAATTCGCGAAGGAAGAAAAAAGCAATTTTACATACAAATGGATAATTATAAAGTCAGCAACAGAGTATTATTTTATTAGTGAGATAAAAATTCATGTTTTTATCAGAAAAAATATCGAACACGTAATAGAATATTTAACGGACCATAAAGAATATAGCCGATTTTGTTTGGATTAATTATTGTTTTGTATTTTTTAATTAAATGAAATAACATGTTTCATAGGCTAGATGATGTGGTTATCAGTTACGGATTTATTATAAAAATGCCAAAAAGATAAGAGTTATCTGAATATAAATGTATATCTGTTTTCTTATTCTTCAATCGTAACGCAAAATAAGCTTTAACGATTTGTTTAATATTCCCACGCCTTAATCGTCGCTAGCAAATTTCTTCCTCGCATAGCATCGGATTTCACCCACATTGCCTTGGCCTTTAGCTTCGTAGTGTCCCGGGTGTTTGCCCAGCGATGCATCGCGAGTCTTCTGCAGTCCCATTCGTGGAATGAAGTTACGTGTCTTTGTAATTTTCTCGTATGGACGATTTCGCTTTCCGTGAAGTATTTGTCGGCGATGACGAGTATGATTGGCGCGAACGGATTAAATCGTGCAGCGCGGATTACGCGCGATTAGTTCCGATTAAGCGCGATATCGTGGAATAAAGTGGCCAAATGTTGAGATACAAATTTCCCGCGTCTATCGTACCACTTCGTGGTACAATTTCGCTATTGTGAAGTATTCAAATTATCATTGGTATTTTTACAATAAAAAAAAACTTTAAAGGAAATGAATGAGATTTTCTTGCAGCGTACTAAGAAAGAAAGAGAGAGAAGGAGAGAGAGAGAGAGAGAGAGAGAGAGAGAGAGAGAGAGAGAGGGAAATAACCATTTATTGAGCGCTCTGGGATGAAAATCCCATCAAGCCCTTTAATAAAAGTAAATACATAAGTTAAAATAAGATTAGGTTACAAAATGGTTCGAAGTGCCAAAGCGAAAGAATATAAAGATGTGAGATAAAAGAAAAAATTAAGTTTAAAGTGAGTAGAGTCGTTCTAGAATATACACATGTGAATGCGAGAAAAGAAAATAAGAGATAGAGAGAGAGGGAGAGAGAATTTATTCTTTAAAAATTAATTTTTTAAAGAAGATAAAAGTTAAAAGAAATGAAGGAAATTAAAAGAAAGTAATTTATCTTAATCACTGAAGTTATTAAAAAAGAATAAGTGGACAGAACAATTTTCTTAATAATACACTAAGGAAAAAAAGTTGGTTTAAAAAAAATATTAGTTCATTCAACTAAACGTAGCGGTTACGGATTGTCAAGCAAATAAATTGTTAATTCAAATAAATAACATGTTTAAAATTACAAGATTTTGTTGATTCACGTATATTTAACTTAAATATATAAATACTTGAATTAAATAAATCACTACGAACTAAACGCATTTAGTCAAGTTAACAATTTTTTTTCTCAGTGTATGAACTCAAGAAGGAGTGAAATTAACTTTTAATTAAACTATTAATTAATTTGCAAGTGTCTATCTTACAGTTAAATGATCCACATCTTCCACCTGTTACCTATTACTTCTCTTACCCAATTTTTTTTTATTATTCGTGAATTCTCATTAGGCCACACACGTTTAAATAAACTTTTCAAGTATGCATATATCTATAAGTTATTGGAGCATATAGGTATATGATAAAACTGCACAATTATCGCAAATTAGCACACACATTCCAACAAACTTTAAGCACAAGTATGCTTGACAACAGAATTGGCAAAAGATAATGTTTTTTTTAACCTTCTGTCCACATGTAGAAGTACACATCCCAGGCTGATAAAAACGTAAATGAAAAGTCACCGAATGGACAATTTCCAAAGTTTATATCCAGACAAAAGGTTAAAAAAAAACATTATCTTTTAAAAGAACAAAACGTTGTTTTTTTAGCATATTTAAATTATAGTTTTAAAAAAGTCGTTTTTTTTAAATTGCTGGAAAAAAACCGGAAAAATTTCGGTTTTTTTTTCAAAAAATTGATTTTTTGGAAAAATTGCTGTTTTTGCTATGTAAAAGACTAATAATAGTAACTTCTAAATTCCTTTATAAAATTAATGCGATGAAATTGTGCATTATTTTTATTAAAATTTTTTAATTATCTCTTTCTATTTTTATAGTAAAACCTAATCTAACCTTCCTTTAGTACATGACAAAGCTTAAGTAGACAGATTTTTAATTCTAGTTTGTCACACTTCGGTCTAATGAACTCCTGAAGTGTTTCTTTGTAGTTTATTATTTTTTTTTTTTCAAATATTTTGTTACGGATTCAGTTTATAAATCCAAATTATTTTCTATATCTACTATCATCATATAAACATGATGTTTGGACTCTATATTTTTAATTCTTATATTAATGGTGCAATAGTGTATGTTTTGTATGTTTTATTGAATACATTATGCGATCTCAATCTTTTATACAATTTCAAAATTTCTGTTAATTTATCCCGCTGTGTACCCTATACGCAATTATTTTCTTTACAGAAAGAACCGAGAAGCAAACGTGATAGGTTTTACGAGCACGCGTGAATTTTTCCAAAATGAATTTTTCTACCCTTGGGAAAAAAAACCGAAAAAATCCACGGAAAAATTGGAAAAATTGGATTTTTTTCCGATTCTTTAAAACTATAGTTTAAATGCTTCATATATGCTTTAAACAACATTATAAAAAAATGTTTAAAACATGTTTAAAATATGATTTTTATCAATCTTACTTGATTGATAAATTACTTGTGTGGCTAGCGTTATTAAGCGAGATTAAGATTCCAATGTAAGATACGAAATAATTGTTGATAATGTAAACTTTTTTGAACTTTTCTTGAATTTTAATTAAGAAATTGTTTTATATATATACGAAGGTATCAAATATAAATGAAGCGTGGCTCTTTTTACTTCTAATATTACTGTTGATATTCTGCTTGCGATTTTATATTTCAGTTTTATTGCAAAGCTTCTCAAAAAGATTACACTTGTTCATGCTAAGTCCGCTTTTGAGTAAACAAACTGTGTATCGCATTTCCGAAAGAAGTCGGGACAATTTTCCGTCGGTATTTGAATACTGAAGAAAACAACTGGGCCGGCGGGTAAACCTCGCGATCACGTGGCAGCAGTCGTAAGTGTTCATTAAGACATTATTAAATTGCCACAATTAGACAACGCGGTGAGCTGCTGGCGTAATAGGAATCGTGATGCACGGGGTCGAAGATCTAGGCGTGTTTTTTCTTCTTCATTTATTCTTCTATTCGATTCCACTGACTTTGCTGCGCTGAGTGGACCGTAATCTCATAGCAGGCATCGTGACAATTAATTGACATATGCGATAAATCATAAAAAAAAATATAAAATAATCTCGTAGATTGTGTGTTGTGTGTAACGAGCTGCACTAAGGAAAAAGTTTTCGGTTTTCGTGACTACAACATCGTACTATAATTATGATTATTACTATTATAATATTAGTAATAATAATTATGTGTATGTATAGTTTTACTATTATAATATTAGTAATAATAATTATGTGTATGTATAGTAAAAAATATAGTTGCCATTGAAAATTATTATAATTGCTATCATTTTTATGGTAATAATATAACTATAAAGATAATTATTTTGATATATATATATATATAATATTTTATTATAATTATTTTGAAATAACTGTACATATAATTATTATTACTAACATTACAGCAGTAATAAGTATAATTATAATATCATGTAATTATAGTCACGACAACCATAAATTTTTCTCTTAGCTCTACGACAACGTAAATACTGTTCAAATAGCGATTCGTTTTTCAAAGGAAAAAGTACGTTTATATGCCAAAATTGTGGATTGAGCGAAATATTTATTTTGCATATCTATAGTCATGAATATTCTCTACTAATATTCGTTTATAACGGTTACGTCTGATAAATCGAAATTATGACATACTATTCGCGCGTTTCTCAAAATATCTGATAGCGCGACGTCAAGGCCTATCAGTGCTTCACACGGTATCGCGTTTACGTTTATTGTATATTTGTTCGTTCTGTCCGCTCTCCTCCATATTTGCACGTTTTTATTCAGTACAATCCACAGTCGCATAAATTACAGCCATTACATTTCCGTTCTTTCAATTAATCATCCGCAAAATTTATTTAACTGACATGAAATACAACAGCCGAATTTAGCTCCCTTTTGCACGGGGATTTAATTTAATGCGATAAACGTGGGAAATAAATCTCGTTGATTTGTATGCATGTCACGTTTCGCTACACCATTATCGAGTTAGCAAATTAAATTATTACTGGAATTAATGTACCTCTTGTAGCCTTTGGTTTTTTTTTCAGAATTATTGCATAACGAATTGTCGTATAAATTAATTACACTCAGGCAGCGTTAAAAAAATTTATATAATCTTGAACAGAGTGACTGCGATGATAGGTCGATTCATCAACATTATGATGAACGATTCATCATCATGCATTCCCTGAAATTGCGGGAGATGACGTAGCGCGTTTTATGTTGACGCGGACGATTTCTAAGATTTCGGCCGAGATAGGCGAGAGTTCCAGCAACAAGAATCATTAACAGGTGAACAAGGTTGATGAGCGACCGAGTGACTGGCCGATAGGTTGCAGCTCTGGTGGCGTCAGCAATTGCCGACCAATTTACCTACCCCCGCATCCGGTCATGTGATATGTCACATCAAACGCCTCGCACAAACTGCCAGCTCTCTTCATGCAGAGGATATATGTTCCTACGTACTTAGTTGCTGCCGGATTCAATGCGACCAACTTCCGTTTCTCTTTTTCTTGCCTGTCCTTCTTTTCTCTTCACGTCTTCGTCCTTCAAGGTGCTCATTTCCGCATCTCTCGCATTCTTACGTAAACTTTGTTTATCGATCGCCTAACGACGTGTCATCGAAACATTTCTGTAACGCAATTTTTCAATTTCGTAGCTGATGTGACACAATACATCTACAATGGTACTTGTGCATTTTACTTCTCAAGTAATATTTGTATTGAAATATTCTATATGTAAATATCACATAACTTGCTTAATTAATATTTGATGTTTTGTTACGAAACAATAAAATTATTCTTTTGGAACGCTTGGTCGATCTGAGAAGTGTTTTTTTTTTTCTTCGTATACGTTGACGAGGAAGAGACACGAGTGGCAAAGAGCGTGGGCAGTCGTGCTCATATTTCACTATATATTTTACTTCCGACCGATCCGATGATTTATTGCTCGATTTAGGAGCTTCGTTCTAATGACACCACGTTGAGCGAGACCATGGAACGGGTCATTGTCTTTTCCGTATTGACATGTGACAAACAGCTGTGCTGAAGACTGATCTAATTTGTCTCTTGCAGGCAAAGATAATTTATATTCATTTTTCGTATACTTAAAATGTATAATCCACATCTGAAGTCCGATATATGTATCGAATAACGTACAACACTCATATGATTGCAATTAAATTAATTATTAGCGCTACTTGACGCAACCATTCAACATTCAGGCGAGAAAGTCATGGAAATTAAAATTATTGTTAATATACAAAATAAATTTTATAATTATCAGATATTTACAAAAGTTCGTGGAGTCTATTATTACTAAAATTTATTGTAAAATTTTTTAGTTACATATGTTATTGTAATGCTACAATTGATATAATTTCCTCCATCATACCAATTACTTAGCTATCATGAATTTAACATTTCTATTCTGGAGTCTTATAACGTACATATTCGCCACTGTTTGTTATTTATTTATAACATTAGAAGGCAAGTGGTACTAAAGCCATGAGGATTAGACTTGCTTACACATATAAAATCTGCTATTTTTAAAAGGTTGTGTGTCATAAATGGTTTCACTGGTTTAAAGCGGCTTGTTGTAATAGTATTGAATTTAATTAGCGTCTGTTAAATATTAAAGCGTTTGTTCAATATAAAATTTGATAACCAGGAGTATAATTAATATAATTCAGAGAGGGCAACATTATAATAATATACATGATTAAAAAATTTTACAATAAATTTTAGTAACATCTAACGATAATTTCACGAACTTTTGCAAACACTCAATAAATTGCATTCTCTTATGAATCTTAGAAAGCAGCTTTAGTTGACTTGTTATCGCAATATGCAGCTATACAGAATAAATATATTTCGTAAAGTAATTACTTCTTGCTTGTTCCATCGTAGGCTCCTTGGGATATCATCATTCTGAACATCTCGCAGATCAACGAGCAGCTTAATGAATATATGAATATGTATGAACACGCGAGAATGCTTGAAAATCGTTGACCTTAGATTGATGTTCAAATCAAACTGAATAAAAATTCCGAGTTTTTTTTTTGCATTAATTGTCTGGAGGACATGAAGGTCGTGAAGCATCTATCTTAAATCAATAGTGAGAATAATTTAAACGATAACAATTTCAATTAAAAATATCTTGCGCAACGAATTTGCTTGACTAGCCGTTTTATGAAAAAATCTGTACATGTATATCAGCAGTATGTTTTAATTCGCATTGCGACAGGCGCAGCGTGACATTTTTTGTGACGAAACGAGCGATGTATAAACGATAAAAGGGGTGACTGAAGCGCGTTACCGTACGGCTCCATATGGTAGAAAGTGATAGCGATTAAGAACGGAAAACGGAAGGACAGGATTTGCCTCGATGGCTCTTTGCGTCATGTGTCTGCGTAAATCCGGAGCGTGTAAATACGCCTATCCAAGCGAATAGATAAAACTGGCACAGTCCTAAATGAATATCGTACGGCGAATAGAAATTTGTAAGTCGTATCAAATTTCGATGTTAATTAAAAAAATAGATTAGAAACTACAAGTTGTTTAATTAATTGAATTTGATTAACCATTCATTCTGTGGAAGTTTCACAACTAATGCAAAGTTTTAGTATCGTTTCGTTGGATTTCTTCTTCGCCCAACGTTTCACAATTTCCTTCTATGCTTTGTTTCACCGGTATTGTCGTTCCCTTATTTCAAAAATAAAAACTAGAAAAATTATGTTTTTCAAAAAAGGAAAAAACTTTGGAAAAAAAATATTCTTAGAAATTATGATAAAAATATCTGCTTGACATCCTACAAAATTATAACAAATTATCCGGAAAAAAATTCGGAATAATTCATCAAAAGTGACATAACTCGAAATATCATCAACAATTTATACCTTCTTCTTCTTCAAACTTTGATTATCAAACTGTCTTAACTTAATTCTAAATATTTTATATAGAAGACATTTTGCTATTCTTTTTTTACTCTCTCCTTTTTATATATATTCCTTTTTATTATTATAAAAAATAACACTTGATTTTATTATTTACAAAAATGACACAAAAAACACTTTTGAAGTAATTAATGGAACGTTGTCATCATAATACAACGTGGAATTTACTTAATTTCGATGTCGAATCGGTGTAACGAGCAATGCAAACAATCGCAGTAATGAACAGCACTGCGGTCATATTAATATTGATTTCCAAGTGTGTCAGGGTGACAAAACACACGTGTTATTAACGTCCTTATGGGCGCGTGCATTGCCCTTGACAATAACTCGACAACATCATCATCAGCGGGCATACTCTCCTATCTTTCCGCGCAATTTATCTTTTGCGCGTTTCGCGCAGACCTCGAAAGTCCGTGAGTGGCAATTTGCTTAAATCAAACTTCGTGTCAAAACTATTAACACCCACCGGTAGACTTTATTTGTCGAGGCTAATAGGTACTCGATTGAGATTTCGAACACGCTTATTAACTCGGAACAGCACTCCCCCGACATTGCTTTTACTAATGGTATTAATCATCTTCGAATTAATTCTTAAACTCATACAGTTCCATGTATGAGAAGTCAACGTCTTTAAGGATTTCTCAAAAGTCTTGGCATAGATGCAATCGCAATTTCATTATACTTATTAGAGAAAGATCTCTAAAAGAGAATGCAAGATTTTTTTCATTTGCCCAACATTATTTCCCGATGTCGCACAAATATGGATACCGAGGAGACCCATTTTTACAAAATAGACTAAAAATTGTCAGTATTTCGTTACTTTTGAGAGAGAAATGAATTTTTTAAATATATGTGTTCATAATTCTAATTATAATTCGAATTTTAATTCTTTAATTACAGTATTATTAAATTCATTTACACAAGATGTGTACATTCGCTGTCACCATTTACATCTACATAGGGTGAACAAAGAAGTTAAACATAGGTACGTTAAGGGTTTGAAGATTAAGTTTAATCTTGGTTCAATTTATTCGTTATTCTTTTCTAATTCTTAGAAAAAAAGATGAGCAAGTTAAATCGCGATTAAAGTTAATCTTACACACAGAAGAATATTATTCGATTGCTAAGAACAATGATTACTTAATTTACTTTCTTTTAAGTAATGGTTTTTAAATAATGATAAAAAATATTCTTTAAAAAAATTAATTCTTGCTTTGAGTACATAATAATGTTTTTTTTTAAATTTATAAGTATATTTTAAGATTATCATCAACAAAATTTTCTTTAACAAAGAATATTTTATTGATAATAATCTTAAAATATACTTATTACAAATTAAAAAAAAAACATATACTCAAAACAAGAATTTATTTTTTTGTAGAATATTTTTTTATAAAATTGATCGAAGAAACTTTACATAATAAGCAAATCGAATTTAATATCTTGATTGAAGTATTAAACTTACTAGGCTTCAGAATATATTTTGAATAAATTTGATGCTTTGTGACGAACTTATAATAGACTTGCGGATATTTGAATTTTGAAATATTTGAAACGAGTAATTATCATTAGTATGTATTTTTACATTTGTGGAACCGAGCCTGAGTCATTCGTATCGGATTTGCTGCACGAGATCGTGACAGAGAAGAATGAAAGAGTTAAAGAAAGAGAGAGAGAGAGAGAGAGAAACTGGGCTTTAAAGGGCGCAAGGGGGGGATCATGTTCCTCCTGTCAAACGAGGGTGATGGACACCTCTCTGTGGGAAGCTCACCAATACACCTTAGCGTCCTTCGGACGCGCGCGTACAAATATGCGCACGCATACGTGCTTTCCGTCGCGATACAAGCCTGTACGATTTCCATACTAAAAGATCGCACACGTACGTACCTCCCCCCCCCCACTTGTGATAAACACGAGCGCGTTTACGTCGGTAGTCTCCTGCGTAAACGCAACGAGATGAAACGGCCCCTCCACCGTGCCGCTGGTGGTCCAGTGGCAGCCCTCCTTCTCCCACAACTTCCCTCTACCGATTCCATTCTTCGTCGCGCGTGTTCCCGCGTGAGTACCAATGCTGGACCCAGCTGGACCGACGAACAAATGACGATCGGCCGAGTGACGCGTGTGTTCACACGTGTGCGAGCACGCACTCCGACTCCGGTTCGCTACTAATGTCGGCGCACAGCTCCGCATATGCATTCAGCGAATGCACAGGGTGCTTTAGCCTGGATCAACAATAGGTGTTTCAAGCCTCGTGGCCCGTATTCATAGTCAGACTTTATATTTAAGGCTTCCTTAAATTTATCTTCAGATGCTCAGTAGCCAATGAAATAATTCGTAGAGGTCTGAAGATTCGTAGAGATCTGAAGATAAATTTAAGGAAGCCTTAAATATAAGGCCTGACTGTGAATACGGGCATAAGTTGTAAAAAAATATAGTCGAATACGAGAAGAGTGATCGACTACGATTTGTTCATTTTTTATGGTTAAGCTTCCCTATGACGGTCGGAATCTCGGAAAAGTCATATGACTAATCAGAATCATTCGTTTGTATAACGTGCTAAATTTAAACGATTCTGATTAATCATATGATTTTTCGAGATTCTGTTTTCCGAAATTTCAACTATCATAGAGAAGCAAGGCTTAAAACATTTATTGTAATCCGAACTTGAGCGTTTAGGGTTGCCACAAACATTTTCTTTAATAATGAGCTTTCTACAATAATAAGCTATCATTTAAGATTTAAGTCTTACTCTCTAAATTTTTTGGAGTGAAATCTCACTCTAAAAGAGTGAAAAATTTGCACTCTTAAATAAAAGTGACAGATTTTCACTCTTTTGGAGTGAGATTTATTCCAAAGGAAAGAACTTACTCTAAAAAAGAAAAAATCTGCGACTCTCTCTTATTAAAGAGTGCAAATTGATCAATCGATTGTGAGAAGAATATTCGACTATGATTGGTCAATTTCTTAGGGCTTAAGACTTACTTACGACGAATGAGTTTCCAGTCGAGCTTTTTAGTCGAAATTTAACCGAGAGCTTTTAAAGTTTCGATATTAAATAGCTTGATGAAATTTTACAAATACTAAATACTTTTATAATTTTATTATTTTTCAATGTGTTGTATTTGCACATCTGAAACTTTATCTATTAAAAAAAATCGTCGCATTGAATTTATTCTCACATTTGGAGCGAATCTAAGAATTTCCATTAATTTGACCGAAAGTTCACGCATTCTGGGATTACGGCATCTTATATTCTTATACCATGATGCAAAGCTTATGAAACGTGTCAAGTTCTCGTAAGATCTTGAAGATTACATTTATCAGAATTGCGATGGCCGCAATTGCATACATTGTGCTCTTTACGAATACAAACACATATGCTACAATACATATGAAAAAAACGATTTGATCGGTACAATCTTTCTTTGGGTTAATTATTTTTTTATAGTACTATTCATCCCTTAAAGTCGTCACACCGAGCTTTGTGTTCTTTGTTGGTTGCGTGATAGTTTTCTATCATGTCTATATATGTATAGTAATCTTATTCCAGCTTTTATTCTTAACATCCTTCGACAATTTGATATATCTAATTGCATCTCTCGATTAAATAAGCAAATAAAAATTTTTAAACTGTTTAGAATTTATTTTAATTTAATTTAAAGGACGCACGCTTTTAATTCTTCTCAAGTAACTATTATTAATTAACAAGACACGTATATTATCCACAAAAAATTCAATTTTATTGTATAATTTATATAATATAATTTATTAATATTTTATTGTATAACGTAATTAATTAAATTACGATTTTTATTGTATTAAGAATTTTGATAGCTTTTAAAGAAATAATAAAAACCATAAATCTTTATGTGTTGGCATCTTGTGTGCACGCGCGAACACTTTATTATTTTTTATTTTATAGTTCCTTTAGTTATTTTATTGTTAATCATTGGATTACTTTTGCCGATATACAATTTTGCG